CACCTGGACAGCGGAACTTGTTTGTTTAGCTTTCTGTAGTCAATGGTGAGTCTCCATAAAAAAGATTTTTTTGATTTCTTTGTATGTATGGATCACTTGGGTTGTTACCAACATCTGGTGAAAATTTCATGTCATTAGCACCTCTAGTAATATATTTACTGAGAAAAATGGTGACGTGTTCAATACTTATTTTATCCGCTGTATATGCACTGTTTATATTTTACCACATCATTATCTGAAATTCTATAAGTTTCACATCCTTGGAGTTTCCATTCAAAGCCATTCCGGTGTACCTTGTTTCCCGGGTTTACGTTGGCCTGTTTGGAGATGAGCAGAGCCACCATGTCTGGCCTTCCCTCCTGTGAAGCCAGGTGAAGAGGCGTGACGCCCTGAAGGGACTCTGCGTTCGGCAGTGCCCCGTTCTGAAGCAGACAACTGGCCACCTCCATCTGGTTCTGCTTGGCCGCTATGTGTAGAGGTGTGTAACCYTTCTGTTTCAAAGAAACAAGAGAATACAGAGACAAACCAGCATGGYCATCGCTCTCCTTATCACTACCCAAACTTAAAAACAGCATTAGCCCATGCTAAGACGGCTTTAAAAGCTACTGCWTTTATCAGTGATGGGTTGTGTTAGCCGTCTTGTGTGAGTTTGCATGCGCACAGGCACTCACACACATGTTTGTTATACCCTCATGGGGACTTTGCATTAACTTRAATTCATTTAGCGGTCATTTCTACAGTCTAACCTTGACCCATTACCCTAAAKCTAACCCCACTACARARCTAACCTTAGCATMAYCACAGTTCARAACTTAGTCCTAAACAGTGACCCATAAACYGTAGTTCCCCKGATGCGGACCGGGTTTTTGTCCCTATACCGAACAGTGGGTCCTCACAAGGCTGTGTGTACTGGGAAAATTGTCATAAATTGTCTCCACCAGAGAACCAAAACATGTACACACCATAGGCGTAATTTGCGGGAGGGTTAGGGGGCTCATAACCCCCACAATAATTTGATCCAGTCAAAATAATCCCCCCAATAAAATGACATTGTTTGCTCAAACACAACAGAAATTAACTAGTTAAGTAGACAGATGCAACTCTCTTGTTGTCTTTAGGTAACTTTGACCTGATTAAAACAATTACAATGTCATATATCTACGTTTTAAGCATAATTTCTAAAAATAACATGCAGGGTTTTAGAGGATAACCCCCCCAATGGTAGACCTGAAGTTATACTCTTAGTACACACACACGCACACGTTTGTACTTATATACTCATGGGGACTTTGCATTGACTTCAGCTCATTCAACAGTCATTTCTGTAACCTAAACCTAACCGCACCAGTACATACCTAACCCTAATCCACCAACGGTGGGTCGTCCAATGAGGATCAGATGTGTGTACCAGGAAAAAGGTCAAAAATTGTCCCCACGAGGTAACAAAAACATGCACACACAAACACATACATCCTTGTATGTGCATCAAACTGAGGGCTTTGTATTGACTTCAATTCATTTTTGTAAGTGCATTTAGCTTAAGCCAGAGATTTTCCCCTAAACTAATCATTACTGGTTGAAAGCTAACTCTAACCTGAACCAAAACTTAAGTCACACTATACCTCTAAACCTAACTATGTAGTAAAGCACAGTAGAGCTGCAAAAAGTGAGGACCGGGATAAGGTCCTCACTTTACATGAAAGACCTCACTTTGATAGTAACTATTTTGTAAGTGGTCCTCACTCTGCATCAGAAGCAAGTACAAAAACACACACACACCCACACACACTCACACACACTCACACACACAAGCATCTTACTCGAGCAGTGCTGTGTGCAGATCCTCCTTTGCTGACCAGGAGTTTAACAACATCCAAGTTGTTGTGATGGACGGCCACATGAAGGGGTGTCAGACCGTTCTGTTAACCACACACACACACATATATGTGAACAGATATAGTCACAGACAAGTATGCACAAGAACACACAGAAACATGTATGTATGGGACACATACTATGGGAATCAGCTGACAAAAAGAAGCAAAAAAAAAGTCTTTTTCAAATGTGCTTAACTGAATTTTTTAAAGATTTACTCACTTTCCCTGCTGCATTTGGGTTGGCACCTCTTTCCAGAAGAAGCTCAGCCACATCCACCTTTCCGTACTTAGAGGCCACATGAAGGGGGGTAAAACCCTTCTGCTCCAAAAAAAAAAAAGATAAACAAAAATATACAATGCACATTCAATGTGGAATTACTTCAGACATGAGAGAGATAGGAAAACAACAACAACAACAAATAAATAAATGTGTAAATGAAAACACGCGTTACTTTTGTCATCTTGACTTGCTGTGCTCCAGCATCCAGCAGAATTCGAATGGTGTGGACGTGCCCCTCCCGTGCAGCGATGTGTAAGGGCGTGTGACCCGCAGTCGTAGCAGAATCTGGGCTGGCCTTGTGCTCCAGGAGCAGCTTGACGAGCTCCTTGTGGCCCATACGAGCCGCACAGTGCAGGGGTGTCTGATCATCCTGGGGGGACAGAAAATGGAGGTTAAAAAAAGGTTTTAGATCGGACACAATATATTATTAGACAATCATTAAAAGAAACTTCTACTTTGCGTTTACTATAAAGTGCTTGCAGCTGAAAACACTGCTTTGCGTGACGATGAGCTCATACCTTTGCCTTTGCGTCCACTTGTGCTGCGTTTTGCAGCAGGAACTGAGCAACTTCACAGTGTCCTGCTCTGGAGGCCATATGGAGCGGGGTCTCCACTTTCTAATACAGACGCACAAAAAAACATCAAATCAAAGATTACAATAATAACACTGCAAAATGTTCTTCCTTCTAAGTTAGATAAACTTTTTTTTTGAAGAAAGCTAGTTTCAGACAAGTTCATATGTTGTAAATACTAAGGCAAATCCACCAAAATAATATTTATAAAGTTTATTATACAGTATATAGTTTATTCATTTCTTTAAAAAAATTTAACAAAACACATTACAAACAACAAAACAATGCAAATCAAATGAAATGAAAGGCAGCAGCAGAAGAAAAAAAATCTTATATTTGCTCCTATTTACAATATATATATATTTCAAACAATAAACCAAATAATAAAACAAAACAAAAAAAATTCAACTCCTCAAACAGTGACTCACAAATACAAATTAAACAATTTCATATTTCTTTAACAATTTTYCTTTGATCATTTTTTAAAGGAATTAATTGATCCAATACTTTTATAATCATTTTCCAGATTATTCCATAGTCTTGTACCTTTCACTGAAGTGCATCTGTCCTTCAAATTTGTTCGGATTTTTGGTTTAACAAACATTTGTAATCCCTTCAAATTGTAGCAGCTTTCCCTTTTAACAAAATTATATTGGATGTGTGAAGGTAACCCATTTTTATGAGCTTTATACATAACCTGCAGAACACGATATTCAACCAACTCATAAAATTTTAATAAGTATATAATAAGTTAGCTCTGGTAAACAAATCCTAAGAGCTAACTTGGTCTTTTTGTTCTATTTGGTCAGTTTGTTTTGAATGTAAGAGCCAATTTACATTGTACTTCCTGTTTTATTTTGTAGAGCCAGTTTGCTTCATCTCCCTGTCACCTGTTATTGATTGCAAGTACTCCTGTTCATTTTGTAATTACCTCTCTGTAAATAATATATATGCACCTCTGTTAGTCGTTGTCTTGTCAGAGTCCTATGCTTGGAAGTTATGTTAAAACTGTAAATACTTATTTTAATCCAGAACCCACTTCGTGCCAGCCTGGACTCGAGTTCTTCCTTTGACATGTTTTAGTGGAACAGAAAATGGTTCTCACCACATTGGAAGCATTAGGTGAAGCCCCTCTTTGGAGCAGGTTCTTAACTATGTTCAGATGGCCCATAAATGCTGCTACATGAAGAGGAGTGAGACCAGACTGCACACAAGGAAAAACATCGAAAAATCAAATTAAAATCTGTGCATTGCTGATAGTATTGGTGTCCTAAACATAGTCGAAGAGAGTTTTTATTCAGGTTATGAACTTTAACATCAAAATAGATTGTGCTTCCCTTTGTGGTCACATCGTCTCACCTCTGTGACAGCTTCTAGGGACGCCGAGTGCTTTAGCAGCAGGTCCATAGACCTCATGTGGTTCTTCTTACAAGCAATATGAAGAGGTGTGAAGCCGTTCTAGTGACACAGGAGAAAACAGTTCATCACCAGCTCTGAGCCTTTGGGATGTTCCGTCATTTGCGAGAACTCTTCAAATCACACATAATTACATAGACATGAAAAAAAAAAATCAAACCAAAAGAGAGAATCACCAGAGCCCGAGCYTTGGCTTTGGCCCCCTTGTCCAGTAAAACTTTGGCCATGCGATGGTGACCGCAGTGGGCTGCTACATGAAGCGGGGTGAGGTGGTCCAGGGTGATGTCATCGATCTCAGCGTTGTATTGCAGTAGCTGTCGGACACAGTCCATGTGATCCCCCTGAGCTGCCATGTGAATTGGGGACAGACCGTTCTGTCGGAGAATAAAACCAAAATAAATAAATAAATAAATAAAAATTTGGAGTGAAAAACAAAAAGGAAGGTGGAAAACAGATGGAGAGATTTCCTGTGTTTCCAAAATAAGCCTTATGATGCTAAATGTAGCACACTTAATGATCCAGAGTCCTAAAATTACTGGGATTAGGAACATCTGCTAAATTCAAAAATGGCTGTTTGGAACCAGGAGGTAATTAGGTGATCAATGAGCTGTGTTCGTTTTAGCACGGTTGGCTGAAGGGACTCAAATCTGATGTAAGCTTGTRATTTATCGTCATTCCTCGACTGAAACCCATCATCGGTTTTCACAGGATTTACAATGTAGTTACTGGATTACTTAATACAGATTAAGGTTTTCGAGTCAAAATCAGTGTTTGACAAGAAAACGCCAGCAGACGTCGAACACAAGGTTACCTTGGTTTTAGCCTGGATGGGAGCACCATGTTCCAGCAGGATCTCTATAATGCGAACATGACCATTCCTGGCCGCACAGTGAAGAGGAGTCAGTTCGTCCTACAAGCAGATAAATGATGGCAAAGAGAGGCTGCTGAGGTAAAGGCCCAAATTTACTGGAATGCATAAGATGTGCATAAAAGAGAAAATATGGGGTGCCGTTTGTAAAGTTATACAGTCAAAAATTACCACCAATATTTTTTAATTTACTAAGCCTTTTATAAGAAAAAAAAACAGATTTATGTTTCAAAGTCAGATTTTCACCATATGATTCATACA